TTATTATTAATATTCATCACTAATTCAGTTATTGATTAGATAAATGTAAAAAAATTGCCAAATAATACCGGGCAGACCCGCCACTAACATAACCTCAAGAACGATTTTTAACAATTGCAAAAAGTAGCCTGAAAACGTTGTCGAACTAATATAAAACACAACATTATTAATTTATATTCATAGTTATTTATTTATATTCATCACTGATTCAGTTATTGATAAGATAAATGTAAAAAATTTGCCAAATAAATTCTGGCAGGCCCGCCACTAATTTGTGAAACAAAAAACACAACTTTCACTATGTAGAACTAATGTAAAACACAACATTATTACTTTATATTCATAGTTATTTATTAATATTCATCACTAATTCAGTTATTGATTAGATAAATGTAAAAAAATTGCCAAATAATACCGGGCAGACCCGCCACTAACATAACCTCAAGAACGATTTTTAACAATTGCAAAAGTAGCCTGAAAACGTTTTCGAACTAATATAAACACAACATTATTAATTTATATTCATAGTTATTTATTTATATTCATCACTGATTCAGTTATTGATAAGATAAATGTAAAAAATTTGCCAAATAAATTCTGGCAGGCCCGCTACTAACATAACCTCAAGAACGATTTTTAACAATTGCAAAAAGTAGCCTGAAAACGTTGTCGAACTAATATAAAACACAACATTATTAATTTATATTCATAGTTATTTATTTATATTCATCACTGATTCAGTTATTGATAAGATAAATGTAAAAAATTGCCAAATAAATTCTGGCAGGCCCGCCACTAATTTGTGAAACAAAAACACATACTTTCACTATGTAGAACTAATATAAAACACAACATTATTACTTTATATTCATAGTTATTTATTAATTTCATCACTGATTCAGTTATTGATAAGATAAATGTAAAAATTTGGCCAAATAAATTCTGGCAGGCCCGCTACTAACATAACCTCAAGAACGATTGATGACAATTGCAAAAAGTAGCCTGAAAACGTTGTCGAACTAATATAAAAACACAACATTATTACTTTATATTCATAGTTATTTTTAATATTCATCACTAATTCAGTTATTGATAAGATAAATGTAAAAATTTGCCAAATAAATTCTGGCAGGCCCGCCACTAATTTGTGAAACAAAAACACAACTTTCACTATGTAGAACTAATATAAAACACAACATTATTACTTTATATTCATAGTTATTTATTAATATTCATCACTAATTCAGTTATTGATTAGATAAATGTAAAAAAATTGCCAAATAATTCTGGCAGACCCGCCACTAACATAACCTCAAGAACGATTTTTAACAATTGCAAAAAGTAGCCTGAAAACGTTGTCGAACTCATATAAACAACATTATTAATTTATATTCATAGTTATTTATTAATATTCATCACTGATTCAGTTATTGATAAGATAAATGTAAAAAATTTGCCAAATAAATTCTGGCAGGCCCGCCACTAATTTGTGAAACAAAAAACACAACTTTCACATGTAGAACTAATATAAAACACAACATTATTACTTTATATTCATAGTTGTTTATTAATATTTATCACTAATTCACTTATTAATAAGATAAATGTAAAATATGTGCCGAATAAACACTGGCAGGCTCTCGACACTATTTCAACATATCTTCGAACATATTTTGACACGGCAGATCATGTCGGTTGGTATCAATGTACTATGACATATGTAAAAATACTTGATTGTAGGTTAAAGATTTTTATGTCAAACAAAGATAATGCAAAATAAATGAAATTTAATTGAATAAATTATTATATTTTAATCATTTTCATAAAAAAAATTAGAATTTAAATGTTGGCCACGCCTTCGCCGATAGGCCACGCCCACGAAACTGAACCTGCCAGATGTGAGAACCTGCCAACTATATACACGTTAAACATATTCACTATTTCAATGGCAAATTGAAATGCTTCGACATAACCTCGAAAACCATTCTCTCAAAATACCGAATATTATGCTGAAAACGTTTTCAAATTAATAAAAAACAAAAGATCATTACTTTATATTCACTTTGTTTATTTATATCATCACTAACTTAGTTAGTCACAAAATAACTATAAAAAGTGTGAAGCACTGGAAAACGAGCAGACTGGTGCAGACACTATATTCTAATAAGGATTCTAATGATTAATTTGGCGTAAAAACACAACATCCACTATGCTAATCGTTTTGGTATTGTTTAAGGGCTTTCCTAATCACTTTTTCATACTTTTCAATGCAATAATTAATAAACATATTCACTATTTCAATGGCAAATTGAAATGCTTCGACATAACCTCGAAAACCATTCTCTCAAAATACCGAATATTATGCTGAAAACGTTTTCAAATTAATAAAAAACAAAAGATCATTACTTTATATTCACATTTGTTTATTTATATTCATCACTAACTTAGTTAGTCACAAAATAACTATAAAAAGTGTGAAGCACTGGAAAACGAGCAGACTGGTGCAGACACTATATTCTAATAAGGATTCTAATGACTAATTTGGCGTAAAAACACAACATCCACTATGCTAATCGTTTTGGTATTGTTTAAGGGCTTTCCTAATCACTTTTTCATACTTTTCAATGCAATAATTAATGAACATATTCACTATTTCAATGGCAAATTGAAATGTTTCAACATAATATTATGCTCCCGATTACGTCGGTTGGTACTAATGCATAATGACAAATGTAATTGTAACTTATTTATAGGTTAAGGATTTTATGTCAAACATAGAAAATGCAAAATAAATGAGATTTTATTGAATAAATTATTATATTTTAATCATTTTCAGTAAAAAATTAAGTTTTATATATTGACCCCGCCCACTCTCGATAGGCGTGGGCGTGGCCGAAAGTGTCTGTAGGGATAGTGTCTGTTGGCTTGACGCGCGTTGTATTTTCTATATTGTATATAGGTTAGAAATCATTCTATCAACTTAACTAAAATATGACCACAACAAACAAATAACAACGTAGGAGTTTGAAGATCAGGCATATAGAATAAAGTTGGTAAAGTTGCTTAAACAAATCCACAGATAAGAAAAATAAACATAAACATGATATATCCATAGATATAAGAAGAGTACAAATAGTTTGGGATCCGTACGGCGAATCTGTTCGCAACGTGCGCAGATATTATACTCTTCTTTTATCTATGGTGCGCAGACTAGCTTATTGCAAGCAACAGCAAGCAGGATTCGCCGTGCGCGTTCGTGCAGTGGAGCGAGCCATTAAATTATCAAAGTTAATGATCTATATTTAAATCTATGGAGCTTTTGGTTAGAAAATAGGTTTTGATCGAATGACGTTTAGGTTAAAAATATACAGTTTATTGACAACACAAAAGTTTTGAATTGAATTCATCTTTGCATTAATTCTTAATATAACTTAATATAATATTATGAGAAATTATTCAGTATAATAGTGAAATAAGAAATTTACGTTCAAATGTCATACACAAATATAAATATTTACGTTCGGAGATGAGGAGATTTTTTTATGATATAAATACAAGAACAAAATGATCACATAATTTATTATTCAATAAAATAATTTTTATTATAATGCACACAATGTTCCCAAAGAAACAAACGGGCAAAACATGATATATTTTAGTGTACATTATTTTGTAATATTAGTGTTGCTATGTTATAATAGTGCTTGTGATAGTTTGAAAAATTGCAATTCAACCAATGTAGATCAATCATACATAGAAGTTAAATATAGTTCAAAAATTGTTCAAAATGAGTACATTGTTGTTTTCAGTGGTTATTATAAAAGTGCTTCTCGTGCTAAATACATAAATGCTGCTTTAAGTTCCACTAATGTATGATTCCAATGACAAAAATCAAATTATCTTTTCTTGAATATAATTTTTTAAATTCATTTACAGGTGAAAGACTGGTTAATTATAGAACGTAACAATGCTGCTAGTGATTATCCAAGCGATTTTGATGTAGTTAAAATAAATGAAACTTCTTTACTGGATGGTCTTAAAGCTTTAAATAAACATCCATCAATTAAACGAGTTACATCACAACATATGGTGTATCGGACTCTTAAATTAGTTACACAAAAAGAAAATGGGAAAAAGAGCATAATTGAGTTAAATGAGCGCAGTGAAAATGATTTGTTTAATATATCTAAAAAATCGCCACAAAATGAAACACAAGAACAAGAAAATGAATTCAATAGTGTGAATGAAGATGATTGTTATGGTGATAATTGTCATTATAATATTTGGAGAAGCAATAGAAGAGGGAGGTCTAGTTTAGCATATAATAATTTTTTGAATAATCAGGTATACAAACACGCACACATACATTCATATATATATATATATATATATATATATATATATATATATATATATATATAAGATTAAATTTTTTTGATTTAAAACCCTTTTTTTTTCTTACAAACTTATTATTTCCAATTATTAATAATTTTTACATTTTGGGTATATCACACCATTGCAATTTGTAATAATTAGTGTTTATTTTTGCTTTTCTGCATTTTCATTACAAAATTTTTTTATGGCTATAGAGAATATTATCTTAATTTTATAATTTTATATTTTTCATAGGTAAATCCAGCGAGGCATAATGTAAGGAGACTTTTAAGAGCAGCACCACGACAAATTACTTCAGTATTGCAAGCAGACATACTTTGGAAAGCAGGCTTGACTGGTGAAATTATTTAATTATTTATTAAAAAAAATTATATTAACTACTATTTTTAACATTCAAAATAATAATTAAAATGCTAATACATCTGAATCATTCTTTTTCAAATATATGAATAACAATTTTCTGATAATTCTTGTTGAAACGTTTAAAAATTAGATCTTTAAATAATGCATGATATTTACATTTGGTTTTATCTTGTTTTACTTAATTTTTACACAGAAATACAATGCAATCAGAAAGACATTTTGTGCCTGTATAATGTGGGATGCATATTTATAATATCAATGTAGAAAGAATGAATTAGTTTTATTTATAAGGCATATGATATTAATACATACATGAAAATGTGTATTTTGTTTCATAATTAATTAAATACAAAGTGGTTTATGTGAATTGTTCACATATAGAATAACTTGCCAAAGAAAATAACTTGTACCGAATTTAATTTTAAGGATTTACAAAAATTCTTTGAGATAGGAATATAATAATTTAATATTGAATGTTATCATTATTTGCATGCTTTATTTTTTTCTTCAAAATGTAAGTTATAAGTTCAAACATATTATATTAGGAAAAGGCGTGCGAGTGGCAGTGTTTGATACTGGTCTTTCATCATCTCACCCCCATTTGGCTTCAGTTATTCGGGAACGCACGGACTGGACGGATGATCATACGCTTGATGACTCGGTGGGACATGGCACATTTGTTGCTGGAATCATTGCGGGCTCAGGCAATGATTGCGCTGGTTTTGCACAACAGGCGGATCTATACGTTTTCAGAGTCTTCACCAATAAACAAGTATTTTTCACTGTTATCTATTTTGTTATCTAATTTTCAATGTTGGATTTATCATATAATATGATTCATTTAATATCTATTCATAATATTAGCAGCTTCAGCCATTCCAGCAACAAACTACTACTACATAATATATATATATATATATATATATATATATATATATATATATATACATATAAGCAAAAATAGAATGCAACAAAAAAATGTACTCTGTAGAACAAATATTTTTAGTTAAATCTTCTTACAAATTTTATGACCTTTAACAAATATTTGTTTGCCATATATATTGCAGCTAAATGTTTTATATGCCATATTTTTTTCTTTTGGGAAATGGTTTTGGTTTTACAATTTATGCATTGTACATTGTACATTGGCATGTTGATTGAATAACACTTTTGAACTGTCTTAATTTAATAAATAATTAAATTTCAAATAAAAAATTTATTACACCCCAAGTGTATATGGTAAGAATTAATTCATGGAAAAAAATATTTATTTGGATATTGATTTCTATAGCCATTCTGATAAACTATATTTATCAATAGTAAATTATCGATAATAATATGTAGTTGCTATTAAATTTCTAATATTGTTTATTTTGATAGGTTTCATATACATCATGGTTTCTAGATGCTTTCAACTATGCAATATTGAAAAAAATAAATGTGCTGAATCTCAGTATTGGGGGTCCCGATTTTATGGACCATCCATTTGTGGATAAAGTGTGGGAGCTATCTGCAAACAAGGTTGGTTAATTTAATGTTAGAAGATATCTTGAAGCACCCATGGTACTAATATTATATTATATGAAAGGATGGAAATATGATTTTGAAAATAAGTCAACTATCACATTTTATTGCATTACATGATGCAAATCGGCTCCGACTTGAAATTTTAATAATTTACAGCCTCATTTTAAAGATATTTTCAATTTACTGTCGACGTTTTGGTACTGAGGTAAAACTAAGGAAAGGTAACTAGGTACCTTTCATCTTCAGGACACCTGTCAAGAAACGCGATCTTAATTAGATTTATACAAACAATATACTCAAGAATAATAGAAATTGGTGGATTTTATATAAAATATAACATATTGATCAAAATGAAACTAATAAAAATAAATGAGTGGATTATATAACAAAATATTAGAATTATTAGGAAATTAAATAGTTTTGTTAGAAAGAGGTATATATATTATATTTATATAAGTTTTTCATGGGTGATATATCAAACAAAGAAAAAACAAAGATTTATAAAATACTCTTTATATACATATATATATATATATATATATATATATATATAAAACTTATTTGTTCAACTGATAACAATCTAATAACAAATTGGTACCAAAAACCAACTAACTCTGGACATTACGTTAATTATTTTTCTTATCATCCACTCAAAATGAAAATAGGTTCTATAATAAATCTAACTGACCACGCAATACTTCTATCAGACAAAACATTTTGGGACAAAAACATCAATTTAATTACAAAAATTCTAACAGATAACGCCTATCCCTTAAAACTTCTAAACTCTGTAACTAGTAATAGACGAACATATCTTTTGAATAAAATAGACAATTCCACTGTACTACAATTCGAACAAAATTTATTCAAACGAAGAATTATAGAAGAATCTTTTTTAACTATTTACAACAATAAAATAATAACGGGATGAACTTAACACGTTGTGCGACACAAATCTCTTTTATTTAGATAGTATTTCCAAATTCCTCACAAAACAATAAAAACGTCGCGCAAAGGATTCGCAATTCGTTCCAAACATGTAGAATCTTGGTAAAAATATTTTTTAAATAGTCTTTTCTCCATTATATCTTCAACCAGTCTACGAACAACACACTATATATTTGTGATTTTTTAAATTAGTATTTTGTGAAAATATTGTGTAATTACAAGTTTAATGTTTATAATGCATAGTGTAGTGCATTACCATATCCTGATACTATGGATTATTAAAATCTTCTAATTTAACACTAAGATTAACTAATTGTAAGTACTATTTACTCTTTTTATTTTTTCTTTTCACTGCAATTCAATTGTTTCAGCCACAATTTTTTTCACCTTACTTACACTATGTCCCCTAATACTTCTTGTGTTAACAAACGTAATTCCTCTCATCTCTTACATGACAGTTACGAAGTCATCATTAATTTCATAAAAAGTAATTCTATACAGTTTTAGAATCTTTCGCTCGTTATATTTCTTCTCTGGTTCTCTTTTCCGTTTCGTTTCTCATACCCCGCTCCTACTCCATCACTACACTTGCTTTGTAACCTTGATCAATGTTCATAAACGCTATTAAAAACATAAAATATAGGAGGGCAATATGTGCTCCTTTAATTTCTCGTTGTTAATATAATAGTATATTATTATTTTACACAAATTTAGTGTTCAATCAATTTTACATCATAATTAATTTTTTCTGTTGTTTTACCTGGTTTGGTATGTATAATTTTCTACTTTTTATATATTTATATTTATTATCAACTTTGTATTTATGTAATATGTCTTTTAGAATACTGAATGATGACTTTAGAATACTGAAGTGTCGAAACGTTTAATGGAATAAATAATTTTTTATTTAATCTTTCTTAATTCGACAATTGGGCTGCAAAAATATTACAAACATATATATATATATATATATATATATATATATATATATATATATATAAGCAGTAATTATAGAAAATTATTAATTTCTTTAATTATCATATTTTTAATGTCAGGTAATAATGGTAAGCGCCATAGGAAATGATGGTCCCTTATATGGAACACTTAATAACCCAGCAGATCAAATGGACGTTATAGGTAATATTTTCTGTAAATTGTTAATGATATTCATTATTGCATGTTAAACTTTTATTTCTATTTAAGGTGTAGGAGGGATAAATTTTGAGGATCAAGTGGCCAAATTTTCATCACGCGGTATGACAACTTGGGAGCTACCACAGGGTTATGGCAGAATGAAACCAGACGTTGTTACGTATGGCACTGGTGTCAGAGGTTCCAGCATCAAAGGTGATTTGTTTGCTTTTTGTATGATATACTAAGATTATGATAATCAATTATTAGTGATTGACATCAATATTTATGAATTTGCAATCACTAAAATATTATTAGGGCTTCAATTATTAATATGACAGTTATAAGGTTCTCAGTAGTTTTTAGTTTATAAGAAACCTTTTAAAATCCTGAAGTAAATTGGCATGAATGATTTATTAATACAATCATAAAAGTTCTTATTGAATTAAAAAATATACATCATTAATAAACAATAGTCAAATTCTTAATAACTAATAGTCAAATTATTCATAACTCTAATGCAACCTATCTTAATTAAAGGTGGATGTAGATCACTGTCTGGTACAAGTGTTGCTTCACCAGTTGTAGCTGGCGCTGTAACATTGCTTGCAAGTGGTTTTCTTAAAGATAATAGGTATTTTAATTATTATTAAATAAGTTATAATTTAGATTTCATTATGCTGGTCGCCAGCTTATTATTCTGAAATCACTATAAATTCATGTAAAACGATTAAAATTTTTATAATAATAATTTATAGTCTTCTGCGAGAAGATGAATGTATTAGCCACTTTTCCAGTATGCTGATATAATGTTTTTTTATATTTCATTCCATTGTTCTGTGTTTTGCAATATGTGGTTGTTATTATTTTTTTTTTTTGCTTTCCCCAAGAACAATCATTTCATCAATACTAGCAAAATGTTTTTTGAATCATTCAAATCGGATGCTTCTTTCTCTCAAAAATTGCCCTTTTTTTCCACATTTAGTACCGTATCTCTGAAACGGCTGGACCTGTCTTTGCCCAAAACTAGTTATCACTTCTCGTCATCATTATGATTTGAATGTTTTTCGAATCATTCAAATCGGATGCTATGTTTTCTCATAAACCTAATTTCCATTTTCTGCTTTCTTTGCTTCATATCTCCGTAACTGCTGGACCGACTTTTGCTAAAAACTAATCAGCACGTCTCCTTATCAATAATAGGAATGAAATGTTTATTGAATTATTCAAATTGGTTGTTCCGTGCTCCCGAAAACGGGGACGAAAAATTGCGACACATCTATTTTTTGTAAGGTATGCCAAAATTTTTAGAAACTTCTGAAACGTAAAGATATGCAAACATTTTCATTTTCGATTTTTCGATGATTATAGTAACTTACCTTACATGAAGTTAAAAATGAGTATATAATATAAATAACCTACATTAACAATAAACTGTGTAGCAGGTGTTATAACATGGGCATCATGTGTTCTATTTATTTTTTGTGGTATTTGTTCTCTAATTAATCCTTCTCTATTTAATTGAAGTAATATATAAACTTGGTGGTTTGGTATTTAGCCTTGAGGCAAGTTACATGAACTTCCCGATATATGTAAATAATCGACTTAATCAATAAAAAATAAATTAATTTATGAGTTATTAAAAGTATTCGGAGTGGATTTATTACACATAATTGAAAACGAACAAAAACACGTTAATCAGAGTATTTTCTAAAAGCAAATTTTCAAAAATCAGTATTTTTATAATTGAACCAGTTTCCGTAGGACTTTAATGATTTTATTATTACGTTTATTAAGACCAAGTACTCTATTGTTATACCAAATGAATCGTCTAAGTTTAATATAAACAAACGTCAAAAAAACTACTCATTTTCTCAAACTTTGATGAATTTTTAAAATTAAACTACTTGTCGTAAGGCCGTAATATTTCAGTAAGTTCTATAAGACCATGGTATATATCGCCAAAAAAAGTTCCATAAACATCGTCTTAATTTTTTTTTCAACGGTTAATTACAAGAAAACGGCTCGGTAGGTTTTCACCTAAAACTAATCAGTATCATTCCTAACTAATATCTTTCGAACAGTTTTTGATTTTTATAAATCGATTCGGTAGAATGAGCTTAAATGTGGAGGAAAAGTTTAACACTTTTTTCCAAATTTCAAAGAAACGGCTCGGCCGATCGTCGCACAAAAGTGACAAGCGATAGTCCTCATTGAGACACATCAAATGGTTTTTAAATTTCAGGCGTTTTTGAGCAATCGTCGATGAAAGGTCTTATTTTGACAAATGCCAAAAAAGCGATACTAATTTTTGCAAACTTTAACGAATTTTTAAAGCTAAACCAGTTGTCGTAGGGCCGTAATATTTTAGTATGATCTAGAAGACTATGGTATCTATCGTCAAAAAAATAATAATAAAAATCGTCGAAAAATTTTTTTTTAACACTTTATTACAAGAAAACGGCCCGGCCGATCTCTACCAACAACTCATCAGCACGATTCCCAATCAATATCTTTCAAACGGTTTTTGAATTTTCAAGATCGATTCAGAATTGCGGGCTAAAACGTGGACGAAATTTTTTTCACTTTTCTGCTATTTACGAAGAAACGGTTTGGCTGATCGTCGCGCAAAGTTGATAAACGCTAGTCCTCATCGAGATACATCGAATGGCTTTTAAATTTTTAAAATCGATCCAGCCATTTTTGAGAAAACGCTTACGGCAAAAAACGGCAAAAGATTTACGGCAAAAAATCTGTTCACACAAACACACACACACACACACACATACTTTTTCAAAATTTGGTCTCATTCGATTCAGAATGGCTTGAAACGTCGAGAAAACATAAAATTAGCGAATCGGATTTTTTGATGAAAACAAACTTCTCCTTAGGGAAGTTAAAAACTCTTTTCCTGTGTTTATTCATCTCATACATCACTGAAAATAATTAGCACAATTATTATATTTTCAGAGATATAATAAATCCAGCAACTATGAAGCAAGCATTGGTTTTATCTGCAAAAAGATTACGACATGGGAATATGTTTGAGCAGGGGCACGGCAAGTTAAATTTAGTGAAAGCTTATCAATTTCTTAAGAACTATGTACCTCGGGCAACTCTTAGTCCTAGTTACATCGATTTGACCGAATGTCCTTATATGTGGCCCTATTGCACTCAACCGCTGTATTACGGCGCCATGCCTACTATTGTGAATGTTACCATTTTAAATGGTATGGGTGTTACCGGCCAAGTGGTAAGTGTTTGATTGATTTACTAAAAAAATTTAGCAAAGACATTGCCAACAAGCATCCAACCAAAATTAATATTCACAAGTTCTTAAACTTGTCCGAGTTTTTAAATGCCCTAGCAAACAATATTTTTACTAAATTTGTTTTCACAGGTTATTAATAAATGTTTTGATAATATAAAAGAAAGATAAAAATTAAACATAGTCATAAAGTTTTAATTCTAGTAGGTGATGAAGTGGGCAGTAGCTCTCCAAATGATCAGAATAAAAAAATATAAATATATTACTAATCTAGAATAATGTCGCTATTGTATAAACTACAGACAAGTCAAAAAAAAATAGTTTTTGCAAAACCTTTTTTAATATTATCAAATTTTTTTATTCAAAAATAGTAAATATTGGATTTTGGGTGACTGTAGTTTATACGGAAGTGAAGTCTATAATTCTTTCTTTAATAGACTCTTGTCTGTAAAAATATCATTTAACTTGGTTCATTAGAATTTGAGAAATCGTGGGTATCGTATCGCGGAAGCCGTTTTCGAGAAAAGCGCATTTAAAGAGGAAGGAAACAGATGAGGATTATTATCGCCCAACATCTATATCTAATCTATAAATAAGATTGTATATAGAAAGTTGAAATGAAAAAAATAAGATGTTCTCGAACATTCATTTAAATTGAAGTTATTGTTATTTATTTAAATTATACCAGTACTATACCAAATTTCTTTCAAATAAATTGTTTTTTCCCCTTGTTAAAGATGGCAAAAAGTTATTCTTCATGTTTTATTATATTTGTTTCAATATTTCTTTTTCTACTTATCATAATATGTTCTTCTACATAATTATTTAGGTGGAAGGACCAACATGGCATCCATACACCTCTCAAAATGGTCTCATATTGAATATTTCTCTCACTCATTCCAATGTGCTTTGGCCATGGTCAGGATGGTTGTCTGTCACATTTTCCGTATCTCCTGAAGGAATTGATTTTTCGGGACATTGTCGAGGACATATAAGCCTGACTATTCAAAGTCCACCAGGAATTGGTGAAAAATATCCTAGAAATAGCACCATTACGCTTCCAGTTACGTAAGTCTTTTCATTTATATTATTAAGTTTTAGTTGAATATGAAGCAAATTTATTTTGGAAATTAATAATTATCTATTTTATTAGTTTTATACCTCGACTAGAAATTGATTGATTTTAAGCAAAAAATTTTGGTATGATTAGGAAAAAGCTTGAATATTTGCTATCTTTCACATTACAGCTTTTTCAAGACAAAACCTAAATTTAATAAATCGTTTTAAGCTTTCCTAAATATTAATAGTTTTTACTATTTCATTAAATATAATGTGCAGCGGTTATGGCAGCAGATTAACTTTGTTAAATGGATTGTTTTGCAGAGTATAATCTAGGAAGATTAAAACCGTCTAGATAATATCTTCTAATAAATATGTAGTGACTATTTTTTTTTTAAATTATGTACATAGTTCTTAATTATTTGGAGTAGAATACATGAATACTTGCAGCTTATTCAAAGAATTCATGATTCGGATATATTATATTCCAGAATGATAATGAAAACAAATAAACAAAATCAGAAAAATATTTTTACAAGGCAGTTTTGACGAAAGCACCTACTTTAGCCCACAAAGGATTAATTTTGCTTGTTTTATATATTTTGCAAGATTGATCAACTTTTGTGCATATCATCTTGATATTGTTATACATACTACATTATTTTGTACATAATTACTTGTTATCCTTAAAACACAGTGCAAATGTTATACCTACGCCCCCAAGACACAAGAGATTGTTATGGGATCAGTTTCATAGCTTGCGTTATCCCCCTGGTTATTTTCCTAAAGACAATTTGAAGGTATTTCATTAATGATGCATACTTTCTTTTATTGCACTTTCATAATTTTATTCATTATTTCAGATAAAAACTGATCCATTAGATTGGAATGGTGATCATATTCATACAAATTTTAAAGAAATGTATCAAAGTTTGAGAAATAAGGGTTACTATGTTGAAGTTTTAGGTAAGAACTTGAAGCAGTTGATAGATTAAAACAATTTGAGATGGTTTGCTGTTGTTTATTTATGGAGAAACATAGATACAATATTTATATTCTATTGTATATCCCTCTTCGCTGCCGATGATAGAATAGGCTTTTTGCTTAGGCCTTCTCTTTTTTATATAGGACGGAGGCGGCCATCTTGATGCGTGCGCATCCCCAAATGCTACAGGGCTGTACTTGGGTGTCGCCGCAAACTTAAAGAAATGTTTTTATTACCATTAACTTATTAAGACAAAAATTTTAGAACAATCTTTTAATCCTTCAGAAAAAAATATTTGATACTATACTATATTTATTAATAGAACATTTTGTAATTAAAATACTCTGTCTACGCGCAGCAATCAGAAATTAAAACGTTATAATTAGACCGGGATTGGAATAAAAATACATAATTGAGCATTTTTATGCGATTTTTATTTTATGTACTATTGACTTTACGAATTTGACGATTCATTACTTACAAAGCAATAATAGATTATTACCAAGATTAAGATGCTTAATTCATCTGATAATTATATTATGATCTTATTGTTGTTATATGCATTCAAAGAGCAAACATTGTAGGGGAGCCCTTCACGTGTTTTAATGCTTCAAATTACGGAACAATGCTGTTAGTTGATCCAGAGGAAGAATTTTTTCCAGAAGAATTAGAAAAACTGCGGAAGGATGTTGAAAATGGTTTATCTCTCGCCATTTTTGCTGATTGGTATAATGTTTCAGTAATGAGAAAAGTTCAGTTTTATGATGAAAATACAAGACAATGGTAAGATTATATTTTCATAAAATATAAATAATATAAAATAATATTGATACATAAACGCAATGTCACAGGCCATTATTTTGATTTTTCTAGGTGGACTCCAGATACTGGTGGAGCCAACATTCCCGCATTAAATAATCTCTTAAGTAACTGGAATGTGACATTGGGAGACACAGTGTATCATGGCTACTTTAAATTAGGTGATCATAATATGTATTATGCGAGTGGTACTAGTATTATTAATTTTCCATTGGATTCAGGAGTAGTTGTAACAAGTTCTTTGATAGATCAAGGTCAAGCGGTAAGTAGACTATTTGTATTTAAAAATTATATGTTTACATGATTTGGAAAAATAAAATAAATGATTTATAAAACTTGAAAAATTACACCGTTTTTCACTAGAAAATGCAAGTCAGAGTAACTTCTTTTACATATCAATTGTAAATAAAAGGTTTATAAAACTTCATCTGTGTAGAAAATAATATAATGCAAGGTGAAAAATTACCTGAGGTCAGGTTACAATTCCCTAACAATCGGTATAATTCTAAATTCTAAATTAATTCCTTCCCATAGGGTAAGTTACAGTAATCGCAAAAAAATCGAAAATGAAAATTTTTATATATCTTAACGTTTCAAAGGTTTCTGAATATTTTGGCATACCTTAGAAAAAATGGACGTATTTGAGACTGTGTATGTGTGTGCGGATACAAATTTTTGTCGACGATTTCGGGAACACCGATCAACCGATTTGAATAATTTAAAAAACATTCGATTCGTATTGATAAGGGGACGTGTGATTAGTTTTTAGCGAAGGCAGGTCTAGCCGTTCCGAAGATACGGGGAAAAAAGTGCCAAAAACGGTAGCTCAGTTCTTAAGAGAACGGAGCGTCCGATTTTAATAATACAAAAAACATTTTGCTTGTATTGACAAAATGAAGAACTGATTAAATTTTTGGGAAGGCAGGTTCAGCGGTTATGAACTCTCACACGTGTATGTGTGTGTTTGCGTATGTGTGTGCGTGTGTGTGTGCGGATACAAATTTTTGTCGACGATTTCGGGAACACCGATCAACCGATTTGAATAATTTAAAAAACATTCGATTCGTATTGATAAGGAGACGTGCTGATTAGTTTTTAGCGAAGGCAGGTCTAGCCGTTTCGAAGATACGGGGCAAAAAGTGCCAAAAACGGTAGCTCAGTTCTTAGAACGGAGCGTCCGATTTTAATAATTCAAAAAACATTTTGCTTGTATTGACACAATGAAGAACTGATTAAATTTTTGGGAACGCAGGACCAGCGGTTATGAACTCTCAATATAAATAAGTTAAAAAAATGTTATTTGGCGGTCAAAAATGTTTATTGGACATATGTACATCAAATTATCAGATATTTTATAGAGATTTTAATAATGTGTACATATTTTGTGTAAATTTTTTTGGGTTCCGCACCATGATTTTGAATTACGGTACGGGAAGTTCCAGCAATTTGCTTTAAGGCACGATGCCATCACCGTACTAGTTTAATTATTTCAATAACTGCTGCTTATTACGGAATCTCACTTCACTCATCTGGATTTTTTTTACGACATTACACATACCTGATTGTTTCTAGCCAGAAAGATGTAAGCCGAATCAAGCCCAACCTAAATCCTCTGACTTCTGGTTTGATAAAAATAAAAAAATATCACCATATAAAACGATGCATTTATAAAAATGCTAGGATGCATTAAATCCAAACATATTCCAAAATTGAAATGTAACACCATAGCATATTTAAAACAATAAAACAAACAGATACAAAAATTTCACACTCAAACACCAAAAAGGAACAAGTGATTTTCCTCAGAAGCTCAAGCTATCAATGCAACATGCTACTGAATGGAATAAATTCAATCACTCTTAAACTAAATTCAAAATTAAATTAAAAGAACACATAGATGAACTAAATTAATTTTATTTGCTTGCAAGAAAAAAAAGTGTTATAATTATTAATTTTATATCTATATATATTTGTTTGTAGACACATGTTGTGAAATATATTAGGGTTTCAACTATTATGAACTATTTATCAAAAATATTTACTGTTATCTCTTACATCAGACAATATGTCTGACTGAGATACAGTACGCAAGAGCTTTTATTTTAATAAAATTCTAACATTTGTTATTGATGTACAAGTTTTTAGGTTCACATAAAATTGCCATTATTTTGTTTTTATCATTTCAGGTATTGTTATCTGAGAAGTTTATCAAAGATGAGACTAAAGATGTTGCTGTCATACTAGGTTTAATGCAGACACAAGTGTTAAATAGGACCGACTCGAAAACTAACAGTGATATCATCCCAGGAAGACTTGTAGTCTACGGAGATTCAAGTTGTCTTGATACAAGTCACATTGAAATTCCTTGCTTTTGGCTGTTAGATGCCATACTTGAATACACAACTTCTGGTTACCTGCCGAATATCTTTCTAAACAACATTCCTGATCAGACACAAGATTTATTTGATATTTGTAAGTGAAGAGTATAAAACTTGTTCACTTAATTGAGGAATTTATTTTTGTTTTATTACAGTATCAATAATTTACTCTACATGGAAATAATAATTCATATATGATATTTTATTTGGGAATTATAAGAATCATTTCTTAATACATTCAAGATACTGATAAGTTTGATTAGTAAATATTTCCATAAAGCCATTTGTCTTTATCACCTGGCTGACAATCTTTTACCATTCCAATTTTTTTTTCATGGTTCTCATAACATTGTTTTACATTCTATTTACAGCTTTTGAAAAGCCAACACGCCTGGAAACATCACGAATGAAGACCTTCAGCAAAGTTTTAAAAAACTCTATCTCTTCTGATGATAATTCTGAAGTTTACTCACCATTACCCACGTGCGCTAGTAGAGTATGGAATTTTGCGAAACCATTAGATCCGATCCTGGAGCCGAATCTCATAAAGTACAAAATTTACTAGAGACGACAATGGTGCATATGGAACAGGCTAAAGGTGACATGTGAGTTTTATTGTAGCACATTCAAAATACGCCGTAATGTTGTCACCAGTATTTATTTTTAAACCGTAAAATACTGTTAGAGTTAAATAATTTATGGGCCTATAATTATGATGAAAGTGATTTAATA